CATGAAACAATCCCAACTACATATTTTACACCACTCACAAGGAAAAAGTCACTACTCACGGAGTGTAAGGCTAGCTTTCCGCTACTTTCTCTTTCAAGGTAGTGATGAAACACATTCTGTAGCACTGTGTGTTCGCGTTCGGCTACGGTAGGAATATGACGTCACATGGCGACCTTCATAGAAGGGATTCCCGCGGTTATGGAGCTATTAATGTCTCATTCTAAGGTAATAAAATCATTACGGTTAATTAAGTAAGTTCTTTATACACCACTGAAAACATAGTTATGGATGTCATATTGCATTTCTGTTAATAGATACTCAACTTTGAAACACATTGCACCTTTAAGGTAGGGCTGCACAATATAGCAAAATTATCAAAATATCGCAAATATATATGTCATGATATGCATACCACAACAACTTGCAATAACTGGGGTCATGAACAAAAGACAAACAGATAATAACTCACTGCTCTTGGCTAAATAATTTTTGTAGCTTTAATAAGAATCAGTGTAGGCCTATATCTAATTCATACAGTGAAAACTAAGCAGTGTTTTATTTTTACATTTGATTATTCAGTTTCTGTTGTTAAATAAACATAATGTAGGATAACTAAAACTAGAAAACCTGTGGTTTACACTGATGTTCAAATAACACTTCTTATGCTAGAGTAAAACATAGCTGTTCTCTGCTTCTCGGTCAGAAGCTGTAGGGATGTTTTCTTGACAAAAAAGAATGTGAAACACGCATGTAGGTTATATAATTGTAAATATATTTAAAAGATAGTTTAAGTTTATTTTACACACTTTAAGCATTATCGTATAAGCTAACGCAGCTAACCCTAACCCTAACATATCATATTTTTTGCTTCATTATGAATGTATGATGGTCAATACAATACACCAATTTCAACCAATATGTTGCTTGACTCTTTGTAAGGTATGAAACGAGGTGTCTGTACCCTAGAGGTCTGCACGGGCTTTAAACTGAAGCCCAAACCCGGCCCGTACCCGCGATCTTTTAACCCGCTCCGACCCGACACGACAATTACATTTACATATTAAGCCCGAACCCGACCCGAACCCGAGGTCCATTCTGTTTCTTACAATAAAAAAAACATTTTTGCAATATGCTATGTTGTATTTAATGATTGCTTGACATATTAAACAAATACATGTAGGCACAGCGGCCCTATCAGCAGACAGCACAGCAGTAAGAGAAAAAAAACTAAAACGTACCATTTACGTAACGTTGCTGTGGTCGAACAGGTGTAACAGTCACAGATGTCTCTGGAACTCAAACTTTAAACTTTAAAAACTTCACGCACTGTTGCAAAACTATTTACACCACATCCTTCTCAGTATGAGTTGTGAAGGAAGAGAACGGCGTCGACAGTTGATGGTTTCAGCGCCGTTCTCCTCTGATTGAAAGTTAGTCCAGCTGCACTGAAGTTTCTCTCGCTGCTGCTGCTACTTGCAGGGATGCTGAGGATACTACGGGCTAGTTTTGACAGTAAGGGGAAAACACCGCAGTTGTTTTTCCACCAACCCAAGAGATCCCGCTCTTCTTCCATGTCATGGTTGCGGCTGGAGTATTGCGTAACTTCATCTGCGGTTTCACCGACGGGCACGTTCACCCACTCCTCAAACTCTGCCACTATCTTGCTTCTTTTAGTGACCGGTTCAGCCACGCGTTCAGCTGGCTCGTTGTCTGTGGTAAAGCTGGCTATCCGAAGCCTGGCTTCTTGCTGGATATCCTCTCTGTCAGGGAGAGACAGCATGCGGAGTTGACAGAACTTTGGCCAAAGGAATATGGCAAGCTTATGTAGTGTGTGGATTTTGATTTTACGGTTCAGCCATTCAAGATGCCGCTCACGAATGATGGCCTGGTGAGGACTGTCTGATGCCACAGGTCTGCAGTGGCGCTTAAGTCTCTCGTGCCACAAAACAACCAGGTTAAGTGTGGGGTACTGGTCACCCTCTAGTTCCCTCTGAGCCTCGTAAAATGGGCGAAGAAATTCCAGCAGGAACTCCATGACATCCGGAGATATTTCGTCAATTTTTCGGCTTTCCCCTCGGCTTTCAAGTTTTTCACGAAGCTCAGCGTACACCTGCTTAATTGAATCCAAGGTAAGGAACACCGTGCTAAACCTGGTGTCTGACATTTGCCTGACAGTTGTTGATAACTGACTTATTATACCGTTTGCTTGACATATCGCACAAGTGCCTTTGCTGCCATTAAAGTCTGTGTGACCTCTGGTGCGCTGTCTCGTAGTTCGGCAGAATCAAGCGCGTTTGAGAACTGTGTTTATAAACATGGTCCTGACAATCCAGTCGATGATACGGCGCGAGTGCAGCAATCATGTTTGATCCCTGGTCAGTGACCCAGACGACTTTATTCATAACACAAGCATCAAATCCTAGTTGAGATACGAGCAGTCTCTGTAATTCTCTCCGTATGTTGTCACCAGTTTTCGCTTCTTCAGGAGGGAACATCGCTGTTGTAAGGACTCTGCTTCGAAGCAAAAAATCAGGTGTTATGTAGTGGCAAGTGATAGTTAAGAAACTGATCTTGCGATAGTCGTCAGTCCACATGTCAGTGGTCATTCCAACAGTAATGTCAGACATGATCTCCGATATTTCTTTGACCAGCGCCTGTCTTTTGGAGGCCGCGGTTTCCTTGCATCTCCGAGAAATGGTTGTGGGATCAGGTAACACACTGTCCACTGAGACACGGCCATATGTAGCCCCCACATTTATTAGGTCTTGCGCTAGGTTAATAAAACCTCGTCCAGCAACCGTATGAAACGATCTAATATCCCGACAGCAAAACTCCACACATTTTTCTGTTACATTAGATTTTACAGAAGCTGGTACTGACTTGGCTGCTGGAGATAGATAGTCCGAAAGAGATGACTGTCTGTTACTAGCGGCTAAGCCTGCTGTTGGACGAGTGCATCCACGGTCAGTGTGTCGCTGTAAAGAAGATGTACCTGTCTTTTTGCTGTCATACGCCAAGACAGCTTTGCAAGCTCTACACTGCACGTAACCACTGGGCTCTTTACTGGTGGAAACGACAAGATCATAATGCTTCCAGATTGCAGCTTTTCCTGCATCATTTGGAACTGTTATAAGTTTTCCCTCAGTAATTTTTTGCTTTATCAGACTCATGCTTTGCTTGTCGTCTGCTGTCTGTCTGTATTTTGACTGAAATAGCGCGCGAGAGCGGTAGCACATGCGCAAAACAGTTTTGTGATATAAATGATTTGATAAAATAAAACAAATAATAAAATATATATTTATATTATATATATGTATATATATAATTATAAAAAAATAAAATATCATTAAAATTAGGGCTGTGAATCTTTGGGTAGACAGCGAATCGATTCGATTCACGATTCATAGGTTTTCGATTCGATTCATGAACGATTTGTGCAAATTCATAACGATTCGATTTGATGCGATTCACATCCAAATTCGATGCGATTCGATTAATTCGATTCTTAATTTTTTATATGCATTATAGTATTATTTCAATGCTTCACCCATCTTTGTCTGGGTTTGAATTAGCCTACACAGAGGTCTTCGGGGATCAGATAGTGGGGATTTTGTCCATTGTTAATGTTAGTTCATGTTTGTTTTTAATATTAATGAATATATTATTATAAAAAAAATCAATGGCCTACAAATTAGCATTTGCAAGTAGCAAATATTTTGAAAAAGGCTTTTAAAGTATTGCATTAAATGACTACATGCACAAATTAATGGAGACATTTTCATTAGTTTCATTTTGCGTCCTCTCAGTGCACTCGTTATCATCTTTTCACTGGATTTTGCTCGCGCTCGGTCCCATATAGCTCTCATGCTTTCATAACGTTAACTACAGATTTTTGAGCAGTCCATGTTTGAGCTCTCCAGCTGAGCTCTCTGTCGAGAAAGCAATAGTTTTGAGGCAAACCGCTCAAGCCATTGATAAAGCTGCCATGCCATTGCGTGGGCACTATGAAATAAAACGCTTTCATTCATTTATTACATGGACTCTCCGTACACGCTAGGTGGTCTCTCGCTCGCTTTCCCTCTCTGCCGAGTGCGTGCAGCCGTGTGTGAACGCGCGATACGCGGTTTGGAGCACAACCTCTGTCTCGTATGCACGCTCGCTCTAGATTCCGGGAGATTTTAACTAATTTGCGGTAATACAAGCTGATCACGACATGAGTAGCTCAACAGGTAACGTAGAAAGATAAACTCATCTTTCAGGCATTTGACCGACCGGGCTTCAGCGTGAGAAATCAGGGGTGTGTGAGCGCCTGAAACCAATCAAATGCGGATGTCGTATGACGGCCAATGCGTGAGGAGGCTTGTACCAGGAACACTTTAAGGTTGTGTTTATATATTTTAAACCACTGAATCGCTATAAAATCGTGATTAATTCGATTCTTAGCCTTTTAAATCGATTATTCACGTAAATAAACGATTCACGATTCAAAATACATGTTTCAGGATCGATGCATATGCATCGCCAGGATTTATAATCGATGCATCGAGAAAACGAGTGAATCGTTACACCCCTAATTAAAATATAAAATATCATTATATTTGAGAAAGAGCGTACGTTTGATTGTGCATTGCATATCTGCGGCTGCGCACGTATGTACTTTCTCTCTCTCGCGTGCCTGCCGGTCACCACAACACAGCAAGCAAGCACAGCACACGGCGCGCAAACTATATATAGCCTATTTAGTTTTTCTTAGTTAAACCCGAACCGAACCCGAGGCTGTTCATTAAACATTAACCCGAACCCGACCCGAAACCCGCACATTTTTCGGGACCCGTCGGGCTCGGGTCAGGTAGCAGACCTCTACTGTACCCTGGAGTCAGTGGTGAAGTGATGACTCTCAAAATGTTCACTGCACAGACGAGAATCCTTGTTAGTGTAACCGGTGGCTCGCGACACCAGTTATACTTGTCTTGTCTGCGTTGTGTAGATAAATAAGACACTGGACCACAGGCGGCGATTTCACTGGTTTACTCTGATAGACAACTGATAGACAAATGAAACATAATCAGCCTCTTAGTGAGAAGCGCCCTCTCTAGCTCTCTCACTGAATCACCAGTGCAAAGAGGAAAAGAATCACAATAAAATGCATAAACATATAACAGAAGACATACCTGATAGACAAATGAAACATAATCAGCCTCTTAGTGAGAAGCGCCCTCTCTAGCTCTATAAAACAAATATGATGTACACTTGTCACACGTGTTCTCATTTCCCATTTAGGCCCAGATGTTAAAACATCACTTAATCGCGAAAATAACCACACAGATAAGTAAAATAATATTGCACAAAGGAATTAGAATGAAAATTTAGACATAAAAGCAACACTTAATATATAGATTAAAGATGATTATGAGGAGCCAAAAATAACCTCACCTCTCACTGAATCACCAGTGCAAAGAGGAAGAGGAGGAGACAGAACAGGAAATTATATTAACTCATGACATCACATCAATTAAAGGAAAAGACACTCAACTTCACTTAGGCAGTAATATCAGGTATATGTCAACAAATAACTTTGTGGAAATTCTAATAAACTATAAATACATTTAACAGTACACTTTATGTACCTGTTACACTCACCCCCCAGAATTTACACAAAATCCTGAAAAAGTAGAACAAGAGAATACACTGGTCACTTGAATTACATGGTCTACCGTAAAGACTCCATCTTAAAAGTTACCCAACCAAGGGATACAAAAATGGCGAAAGTTGGCCAAACTTCCACACATCTTGCAGGCATAAGCAAAGTGCCCATTACACTTTGATAAATTCAGACCAATTATACAAACAGGATTAATAAACACAGGGGAAAAAAACATTTTCAGGCAATTATACTCAGAATTACCAGAGTGTGTGCAATACCATACATAGACTTACACATGTATTACAGGAGATAAAGAATCTATCCCAAGTAAGGTTTCGAGTTGAACCATAGACTCAATTAACCTACGAACAGGTTTAATTACCCTACCAAGCCTGGTAGTGTAACGATCATCAGGGTGATTGTCAACCATAGGATCATGTGAACTACTAGGAACAGGAACAGTAGAAAAAGAAGCACTAGTTACAGTGTCATGGTCAACAGGTAAGTCATTTTGTGCTTCAGAAACAGACGGAGAAGAATGGGACGAAACCCAAGAAGCAGTACGATCATCATCACAAACAGCTATGTGAGACAAATCATCAGTGACAGGTAATGTTGACTCAGCCACATCACAAACAGATTGAGATGAAGTGGAACAAGGAGCACCAGTAGCACCATCATCAACAGAAATGTCAGTTGAAGGCAAAGGGAGGAAGTTAACTGGCAACAGTAGATTCCGATGTACCACTTTCTCATGACCAGATCTGTCACGGATCTTGTAAATGTGCAGGGAAGGTTTGGAGGCAACAACGGAATACATGGTGGGTTCCCATTTATCGGCAAGCTTCCGTTTACCCCTACAGCCTTTGTTGGCAACAAGAACATGATCACCGACTGACAGAGGCAATCCTTTGACTCTCTTATTGTACTGATCAGACTGGTGTTTTTGTTCTGCAGTAGAGTTCTTTTGAGCCAGCGCCATAGCAGACTGTAGATCACCGACAAGGGATTGAACATAGTCACTGTAATCACAGATTGACTCATCACGAAGCACACTTTGAAACATAAGGTCAACAGGTAATCTCGGCACCCTCCCGAACATCAGGTAAAAAGGGGCAAACCCAGTTGTCTCATGGGCAGTGCAGTTATACACGAATGTCATTGTTTGAACCAACTGTGGCCACCTTTGCTTAGATCTGGGTGGAAGCGACCTCAGCATGTTACCTAACGTTCTGTTGAACCTTTCAGTTCCACCATTCCCCATTGGATGATACGGGGAAGTCAGTGACTTGTCAACACCAGCAACATCAAGAAGCTCTGCTATCAGCTCACTCTCAAAATTTGCTCCTTGGTCTGAATGGATACGCTGGGGAAATCCATATACACAGAAGAAGCCATCCCAAAGTTTCTTAGCGACACTTTTAGCACATTGATTCCGGCATGGAAAAGCATGAGCTAGCTTGGTGAAATGATCTGTAATTACTAAGACATCCACAGATTTATTGTGCTTATCTTCAGCAGACCAGAAATCAATACAGACAAGCTCCAATGAGGCAGTGGTCTTGATGCTCTCCAAAGGCGCTCTTGCTGCTGGCTCAGGAGTTTTACTCAGGACACAACGGGTACAAGTCTTAACGTAATCACGCACATCACGTTCCATCTCAGGCCAATAGAACCTCTGGCGTGCTAGAGACAGGGTACGTGGCTGACCTTGGTGACCGGCCAAATCATGAACACCAGAGAGTGCTTGCTGTTTCAGGGAACCAGGCAGGACGAACTGAAACTTCTTGTGCTTAGTAAGCGGATCTTTGACAGCTCTATACAGAATTCCATGAAGCAAAAACAGTTTTTCCCACTGCCTCAAAATCCTTAAAACTCGCAAATCCTCATTCGCACGCTCACGCCTGTTAGGTCTTCGCTTCCTGCTGACATAGAAAGCCACCCTCGAAACAACTGCGTCATTGTTCTGCTGACACTGCAATTCAGACAATGAAAAGGCATGGTTTACGTCTTGACAGTCAGGAATCAAAGAAGTCAAGTGATCAGCCAGGGATGTTGCTCTGGATACAGCTCCTGAATCCCAATCCTCACAAGAAGACAAGACAGACGACACATCCTCAGTAGTCATAGAGAAGTTGATCTCAGAGCTCAGATTGAGTGCACTATCAACCGTCTGAGGCTGGCACGTGAGACGGAAGGTCTTTTGGACAGAATCATCTTCCACACTGTGTACAGACTTCAACAGTTCAGAGTAAGGCTCAGACAAAAGTCGCTGACTCACTGGGTTGACAAACGGGTCACGACTGAGCGCATCCGCCACAACATTCAATCTTCCAGGAACGTACTTGATCTTAAAGTTGTACGGGGCAAGTTTTGAAACCCAGCGCTGCTCACAAGCGTCCAATTTTGGTTTTGTCAAGATGTACGTGAGCGGATTATTATCCGTCCACACGGTAAACTCGTGGCCTTTGAGCCAGTGACTGAACTTGTCACACACTGCCCACTTCAGAGCTAAGAATTCTAATCTGTGTGCCGGGTAATTGGCTTGGCTACGGCTCAAGGACTTGCTGGCGAAGGCTATAGGACGTGCTTTGTCCTCACCACTGGGAACTTGAGAAAGCACTGCACCTAGGCCGTCCAATGATGCATCAGTGCAGAGAATAAAGGGACGCTCAAAGTCGGGGTGTGCCAAGACTACGCTCTCAACAAGGGCTCTCTTTAACTCCTCGAAGGCGACATCACAAGCTGGAGTCCAGTCCTGGGGAGACAACTCTCGGTAAGTACCAGATCTTTTACGACTACCTGTGCCTTTCATCAAACGTTTTTGACCGGCTGTCAAGTCGAACAATGGCTTCGCGACACGCGTACAGCCAGGAATGAAGCTCTGGTAATAGAGAACCATGCCCAGAAACGATCTTAGTTTCTTCGGTGAGGGTGTGACACCATCTTCTTTCATCAGGTCATTCTTCTGAAAGGCTGAAATGACTGCAACTTTGCCCTCATCTACAGACACTCCAGACCCGCTGATCACATGGCCCAGAAACTTGATGGAGCGCCTGAGAAAGTGGCACTTCTTTGGAGCCAACTTCAAATTACTAGCTCTCATCCGTGAAAACACCACTTCCAAACGTTTCAAGGCTTCTTGCTCAGAACGGGCGAACACCAGCAAATCATCGAGATAGCAAAGGAGGCTGGAAAAGTTGAGATCTCCAAATACACTGAGCATCATGCGCATGAAAGATGCCGGACTGTTACACAGGCCCTGGGGAAGACGGTTGTATTCGTACAAGCCCATCGGTGTTGTGAATGCCGTGTAGTGACGATCAGATACATGGAGCGGGACATTGTAAAAACCCGAAGTCAAATCAACTGAGCTGAAGAGAAGATTGCCACCAAGAGCAGCAAGACAATCCGCCTGATGGGGCAAAGGGTGAGCATCCTTGATTGTCTTTGCATTAAGCCAGCGAAAGTCCGTACAGACTCTGAGAGACCCATCCTTCTTCCATGCCATTACCAAAGGAGACGCATACTCGCTGACTGATTTGCTAATGATGCCCTTCTCTTCCATTTCAGAGAGTACCTCTCTCAACTTTTGGTAGTGAGCGGGAGGGGTTCGGCGATAAGGCAGGCGAAACGGACGCTCGTCACTCAGATGAATTCGGTGTACAAAGTCTCTCACCTTTCCACAATCGAGTCTGTCTTTGGAGAAAACATCATTATAAGACACGATAAGACTTGCCAACTCCTCCTTCCATGACTTGGATACCTCACATCCTTCAATATCTATGTCCTCCAAACCATACTCATGCAGTAACCGCACAGGGTCAACAGGTGGAATAGACTTGTTGAAAGTGGCATCAGAAACTTGAGGTCTGCAGACATCTTGAGAAAACGTAACATCCTCCACCGCCAGACAAGGAGACACATCAGCAAGCTTAGTGTTGCGTCGAAGAGTTATTGGAGACTCAGTGGGATTTAAGATCTTCATCGGCACCCATCGATCACCCCACATAGGAGTCACTAGACGTCCTACAAGCACATGTCGAGGCGCTGAGCGAGACGTAGTGGGTTCGACGATGACGGAGCTTCCTGGGGAGACATTAGTGTTAGCTGGTAGTTTTCCCCAGACAAGGTGCTCACATCTGGGAAGTAAAGTAACTGCCTGACAAAGCCTAACTGTGCCGAGCTTAGCAGGCTGTTGAGGACCAGACCAACGAGAAACACAACTCAAAAGCTCAAGAAACTCTTCACACTCAGGGTTGCTATTTTGGCAGGAAATCAGATCCCAGTACTTCTTCTCGGCTTTCATCTTCTTAAGCACACATTTGATGACGTTACTGCCGATAATGAACTCATCCCTCTGTCCGGGAACTACCAAGGTTGGTACAATGAACTTGAACCCGTAGACTTCGATTTCCAGGTCATACGCGCACTTAGGCTGAGTAGTAAGGCCACCACAGCCCACCAGGACCACGTTACCAGGAATCATTGAGGGTTGAGGGAGAACTCCGTCAGCACACAACTTCGATTCACCTTCCGTGCTCAGGGTACAAGCCATACTCCCAGAATCCAGCAAACCGTGCAGTACTGACTGGCTACGGACAGTTACAGGAGCATAAAAGAGTTCACTGGCTCCATCAATTTTCTGAGATCCCACATACAGCACTGTTTTGTCGGGTGGCAACAATTTGCAACTATCTACAAAAATCTCTTGTGGGTCTGACTCATCTTTTAGGGGAAATACGCCACCGCCCATGCTATCCCCCTCTGCACATGGGCTACTTAGTTTAACTGGGTGTCAGGAGAAGGAAGCTCAAGGCCCGTCGTCTTAGGACAATTGCTCTTAAAGTGTCCAGGTTTAAAGCAGTTACGACAAAGCCTCTGGCGCATACAATGAGTATGTGTAGTGTGCTCTTTAGATCGACATACTCTACATGCTGGGCTCAAACTTGGCTTGAGGTCTGAGGTTCTGCCAGGACAGTTTGGGTTGGACGAGGACAGTGAGGCAGTGCAGAGAGATAAAACTTTATCCATCATGCCAACCAACTGTTGCATACTACCATCAGGAGTAAAAGGAGCAGCGTTGGGGTTCAGCTGACCAGTTAAACTTGACATCTGGCTTAAGGAGAGTTCAGGCTGTTTGAAAGGGCTGGGTACAGGATCGTCACAGACAGTCACAGTGTTCTGATGGCAAGCTGACACAGGCAATGAGCGTGCAGGTCTGGCAAAAGCTCTCTTCAGGTTCCTGTGATGACTATCCAGTCGCTCTTGAACTTCAGCAGCACTCCACTGTTCAGCAGGCTTGAACTGAAAAGACAAAGCAAGACCAGGATCTGGACAGTGTGAGATAAACATCATAACAGCTTCAGTAACAGGATCCTCAACAGACTTGTTGCGCCTTCGCAAGCACTCATCAGCCACATCAATCGCCTTGTTCAGTCTGATCCAGTAGTCCATTGGGCTCTCGTCTGCCCTGGGTAGAGTGTTATAAAAATCAGCCATAGGCATGTTTGAATACATCAACTCACTGAAATTTCGCTTCAGTATGTCAAACACTGTGGTGGGGAGCACTGCAGCAGTCGGTCCTGGGAAGCTGCGTAAGGACACTTTCACTACATCCCTCGCTTTTCCAGCTAACCTGCTCAGGATTAGATCAGAGGCAGTTTCATCAGTGCATTTCTTTCTGTTCATATAACTGTACATCATGTCTTCCCATTCATGCACAGTAAATGAATCACTCTGGTCACCTCTAAATAATGGTGGGGGTTTAACATCGTGTTGGACAATGATGTTCAAATTAGAAGCATCAACACAATCGCTTGAGTGCTGGACATTTGACTTGGGCTGCACTGGGCTGGGATGTTGTGTTAAATTCAGACTGGCTGAAATACTCTCACCAATTTTCTGTGCCAAATCAGAAATAATACCTCCTAGAGACTCAGGGGTAATGATGTGATCAACATTTGGACGTGAAAAAGGAGTAGAGCAAGCAGCTGGGCTTCCTGAAGAACCAATAGCTGAATCAGATGCATGCCCACGGTCAATTTCTGAATTAAAGAGTGCCCTCCCCCTTCCAAAACATTGAGGTGAAACTCCAGACATATTGTCAGGACGGTTAAGTACAGCCCCAATACCTCTGCCTACTGGGAACGTGACACTAGGCTGTTGTACAGGGCTAAAATTATCCTGACTGACAGTGTCCTCAAACATGACTCAGTTTGAATAGAAAACACAAAAAGAAAATGTAATAACTTGTTTCAGAAAAAAAAAAATGGAAATATAAACAAGTCACTTAACTAGTATTCAGATAAAAGCACTTTGCAGAAATACTAATTTAGACTCTCAAAACAGTTCAGTGTGACAATTCACGGAGGAGAAAAAAAAAAAAAAATTATGTGACGATGACGATCACAAAACTGTTCATGAGCGTGCAGCAGCGCAAAGAATAGTCCAGTACAGCGTTGCACGGCGAAAAACGAAACAAAGTTCCTCATGTGATGATCACAAAAACATCCCGTCATTTAAGTCCGTGCAGCAGTGCAAAATTTTTTTCAAAAATCAACACTTCAAAGCGCATCTACTGCGCAAGTCATTAATAGAAACCAAAACAGTTTTTCATCATACCTCATAAAAAGCAAGCGTTCAATACGTGATATGAGCAGCAGAGACGAGCGCTGAAAGCGAGATGAAACGAGCTGCGGCCTCCGCGATCAGCGAGACACTCGATCCTCCAGTAATTCACCACAGCACACCGCCGTCTGATGAAGCAGCAACTCCGGCGATCAGCAATCAACCGATCTTGCGAAATCCGAAGGTTCACGGCACCACGTGTAACCGGTGGCTCGCGACACCAGTTATACTTGTCTTGTCTGCGTTGTGTAGATAAATAAGACACTGGACCACAGGCGGCGATTTCACTGGTTTACTCTGATAGACAACTGATAGACAAATGAAACATAATCAGCCTCTTAGTGAGAAGCGCCCTCTCTAGCTCTCTCACTGAATCACCAGTGCAAAGAGGAAAAGAATCACAATAAAATGCATAAACATATAACAGAAGACATACCTGATAGACAAATGAAACATAATCAGCCTCTTAGTGAGAAGCGCCCTCTCTAGCTCTATAAAACAAATATGATGTACACTTGTCACACGTGTTCTCATTTCCCATTTAGGCCCAGATGTTAAAACATCACTTAATCGCGAAAATAACCACACAGATAAGTAAAATAATATTGCACAAAGGAATTAGAATGAAAATTTAGACATAAAAGCAACACTTAATATATAGATTAAAGATGATTATGAGGAGCCAAAAATAACCTCACCTCTCACTGAATCACCAGTGCAAAGAGGAAGAGGAGGAGACAGAACAGGAAATTATATTAACTCATGACATCACATCAATTAAAGGAAAAGACACTCAACTTCACTTAGGCAGTAATATCAGGTATATGTCAACAAATAACTTTGTGGAAATTCTAATAAACTATAAATACATTTAACAGTACACTTTATGTACCTGTTACATTAGGAGTCCAATTCTGTCGTTTCATGTTGAGCATCCACTGGTCCAGCCTGAGATGATCTGGATCACCTAGAGGAAAACTTTACACAAACAAATAGATAGTTACCTCCTTCACAGACTATTGTACATGCAAACAATATGACTTAAATTACTTAAAATATGACTTAAAGTCCAAGGTTGTAATAAATGTATTTAGCTTAAAATGTTGTACACATATCTTTGAGGACATGTCAAAAAAATACCTCCAATATAGTTAGTGCATGTTAGTAAATGCTACGCAATTTATGAAATGTAGGCATAGTTATATGACAACGTTTCAGACGTTTTATACAGTCTATGGTTTCAGCCTACAGCTAATCACAGTCTGTTGGATTCTGTAATGTAATGAAGTTTTAAATACAATTATAAATAATAAATAAATAATTAGAAAAAAAATGAATACGACGAAATGATATTAAAATTTCACTCACCGGAAAAAATGGAGTCCAAGCTTCTTGGACGGTCTGTTAATACAATTAACACCACTGCAAGACATTATAATTGTGAAATAATCCCGAAAAATCTCAAACACGGCAGAGATGCCAAGTTTAATGGCTAAAATTGATTAATTTTACAGTCAGACAATTAATGTTAGCTGAGGTAATGTGACAGACAGCAGGCAAGCGGCTAATGATGACTAAGTTAACAAGCCCAAGCTTCTTGGACGGTCTGTTAATACAATTAACACCACTGCAAGACTTTATAATTGTGAAATAATCCCGAAAAATCGCAAACACGGCAGAGATGCCAGGTTTAGTGGCTAAAATTAATTTATTTTTACAGTCAGAAAAATTAGCTGAGGTAACGTGACAGACAGCAAGCGGAAGATTACTAACGACCACAGCAGCGGGAATCCACCTGTCACTCAAAATTGGACACACCCTTAATTATGCAGAAAATGAAGGCTTAATATTATTTAAACGGATGAGTTATAAAAAAAAATCACCCCCCTCACAGTTGTCATGAAGGGAAAAATGCGCTCTATAGACCCAAGCCACTTTTTGCTCCAGGCTGTAAACATGTTTTTTTCTGCTGTAAAGTTGGGCATTTTAACATGGGGGAGATACAGATTTGACTCGCTTCTGCAGCCAGGCCACTCGATAAATTGCAGTTTAATTCACTTCCGTGTTGGCTTCAAGAGAGAGACGGGGAGGTTGCCGCTTGGAAAATACATAATGTACAGCTAAAGTCTTTAAATTTACATTAATAAATCTCATTATAGATGCAACGCTTCATTTACAAGCGATACTTCAAGGGATACTCATAGTAGGAAAAAAATAGTAGTAGTAGTAGTAGTTCCATAGTAGTTCCATAGTAGGAAAAAATACTGTGGAAGTCAATGAGACCAGAAACTGTCTGGTTACTGATATTCTTTTAAATATCATAAAATCGGCTGAATCAATTCGAAAACGGTCAAACTCAACTGTTTAACTATGGGGGAGTTGTAAAATGAGCCTATTTCCAAAAAAAGTGGAGTATCCCTTTAAATATCATTAGAATGTTTTGACACACATTGATATTTGAAGGCTTTGATCGTTGACTTTTAAGACAATTTTAGGGTGCAATTATTGTCAATATGGGACCAAATACATTTTCCCCCATATTCATTATCATCAAATCATTTTTGTAAAGTAAGTTATTTCATAGTTTCACCAGAGACAGATATTAACTGACCACATCTCACCTCAATGCCAAAGTTGCTGCTTGGATTGCACATTGATGCCACGGCATGCCAATTGTTTGTCAGCGGATTGTAGACCTCTGCACTCCGCAAATAACTGGTTCCATCAAAACCACCAACCTTTAAATAAATACACTTTTTATTTATCTATTCTGTGCATTTGTATATGCACATTGCACAACCATGCATGTATTTACTTAAGTGCAACCTTTAAACTGTGATTGATCCATATTTCTGTATTTGTGTTATGGTTATCATAGTTAATTAAAACTAAACCCTGATATGTGTGTGTGTGTGTGTGTGTGTGTGTGTGTGTGTTTAATACTCACAGCATACACTAGATCTGCATAAGCAATCACACCAACAACTAGGGGTGCACGATTCAGAAAATCTCACAATTCGATTCGATACCGATTTTTTTTGTCTCGAGATTCGATTCAAAATCGATTTTTCGATTCAAAAAACGATTCTCGATTCAAAAAACGATTCGCAGGTCTATATAAATGTAGTTTACTTTTTCCTATGTGATTGATTGCAGTAGACATAATTTAAAAGAAAAGTTTGATATTACTTTATATGTCTTCATACAAAAATAAAAACTTTTGCAACTAAAAAGTGCTAAGTGCCAAGCTTTGGCCAGCTTTTAAATACATTTAATTCAAGTTTAAAATAAAACTTAAATAAAAAGCTTTTACATTTAGCTTTAAAGTGCTGTAGTCAGATCAAACAAATGCTAAATGTGGTTTAAGGAATAGGCCTACTTCAGCTACCAGGTTGACCTTTGAAATGTGAACTCGACTGGGCACATTGAACTTCCTAAAAATATATACTAATTTCATAGAACCCTTGCGAAAATATTTTAAATAGATTTAAAAAAGCCACCCCTACTGGTAACATCTATGGTTAGATTGATTTGTTTAGATCCAGTGAAGTCGTTCATAGGCGCGTAATTTGCTGGTATCTCCAGTTAACTAGCAGAGCATTCATTTAGTTCGCTATTAAATAAGAGACCTGTTGTTTTTGAAATCAAGCTGAGCGCTCGTGTCCGCTGCGATCAGTGTCATGGATACAGTGTTCTCTGTGGCTCGCACAGTCTTCTCTCGGACGCGCGCTTCAATCTATCGCCGTTGTGGAGACTCCGGTGAAATCACAAAATAAAATGCACACAAACGTGATGAACATATTCGGTTTTGATGAGAGAGAGAAAAAAACTATACGAGTGCGGTTTAGAACCCGTAACCTCTGACACGCTTGGCAAAAGATCTACAGAACTCAAACATAAGATCTGCGGACCGATGCATTTATTTACGGGCTGCACAGTTTGACCAGCGGGCGGCAAGAACTTGCAATAACTATTTATCAGACCGGCCCTTGCAGCCTCGAAACCATAGAAACACTACCGGACCACCGGTAAAAGTCCCGACTCACCCGATTGCCACTCCGCCCCTGCACGCCATTAAAAAATATAGCCTATATAAATCGATTTTTGGAATTCTATTAATCGATTATGAATCGGTAAAGATTGAATCGCGATTCAAATGTGAATCGATTTTTTTGCACACCCCTACCTAATAATAATAATCCTAAGGAAAACAATAGGGCCTTCGCCCTTTCAGGCGACCTTTCAGCCTTTAAATTCACCCATGAACTCGCGCCCATGTCCATCTTATGCCCGCTTTCTCACATGGCCAGTTCAACCTTGAATAAATCAGGTTATGTGTGTAAATCACATGCCCGCTCACGAGCGCTTACTCTTAACAGACACACCGTCCCCGGCGCTGCTCGTGCGTCACAGTTATGTTCATAAAGCGCTCCCCGTTCACAGTAACCGGCTCGTCTCATTCAAAACAGCCAACTGTAACGTTAGCTGGCAGCGAGCCGCCGCACATTGAATACTCAAATGAGTCAGGCTGCGAATGTAAGTTACGTCCCCGCCCCAGCACGCTCACGCCTACTAAATAAACGCCTCACCTCCGGCGCCGCGCACTCGCTACATTCCCTTTAGCCTTTAGTTTAGCACATCTAGTGGATGCATAACACAAACCCAGTCAAACGTTTGACTCTGCAGTATCTTATGCGCCTTATAATCCAGTGTGCGCCTTATATATGAATACTGAATGGGCCAGCTGCGATGTCAGCGTCTGTTATTTCATGTTTGCCCACAAACGCGGCTGAAATCCCCTTCGCAATTAAGTACTTCACTTGATCTTCCATAATAGATAGGAGGGGACATACAACTACGTTTAGCTGATCTTGATTAATGCTCATTGTAACTCACATAGGTCACTCATATAAACACAACAGTTTTTTTTCCGCAATCACAAATCTGCGCTTTGTTTCCCGGCGGACCGAAAATAAACGCGACACTGACGCCCCCCGGAAATCCGATAAAATTCAACCAATCAGATGACGACTTCGACATTCCTGAAGTGTTTCCAGTTAAGTGTACCATATGCATCAACGTTCCGTGGGCGTGACGTCTGAGGCTGAGACTACTTGGGCCCTAATAATAATCCTAAGGAAAACAATAGGGCCTTCGCCCTATCAGGGCTTGGGCCCTAATAATCCCAAGGAAAACAATAGGGCCTTCGCCCTTTCAGGGCTTGGGCCCTAATAATAATCCTAAGGAAAACAATAATTGCATATGCAGCTGCCACACACAAATTGCAATTACATTATTTATAATTGTATTTATTATTATTTATTGCAAAACTATGCAGCCCATTCTATGTCTCTATCCATGATATTGATCCATAATAGAAGGATGATTGGATGAGGGATGGATGTATGGATATCTACCTATACAGATGCACAAACAATAACAAACTATACAAATAAAATAGTACTGAATTATGTGTGTTACACGCAAGTGTTACAACTAACCCCTCTGTCTGTTACAATTAACCCCGCATATGGGGTAAGTTGTAACATTTTCACTTCTGTCACTTTCAGTGCAACTGTACGAAAATGGTAGGTCCTAGAAAAAAACTTTAAGTGGTCATTTGTAGCAGAGATGTGTATGTTGCTTGTGTAAAAAAAAGTATTAATCTAACCTAATTATTTTTTAATTAATTGAGCCAAAACCAAAATGCGTTAGGTTGTGCCCCGCTCTTCCCTATTAGACCTAACTTTCTACTTTCTTAGAATTGTATGACAGTCGCAATAAATCTGAGTGTATGCTACTTTTGAATAACAGCTAGATTTGTTTTAATGCACTCCAAACTGCCTGTTTCAAGATGATTAGGTTACCGATGACACAATAAAGTCTCCATTTAC